AGTGTTGTTCAGCATGGGGGGGAGTAGAAAGTGAAGGCTAATCATGTTTTGGGTGTACTATTCCTTTAAGTCATAGAAAAATTCAGAAGCTGAAATTTATTTTTCCCAGATTTGGCTCGTAAAATATTTTTGAAATGTTACATTATAAATTTGTAATATGTGCACAACAGTTTCAAATTGGTTTTCCTGCAAAGAGGAGCCACAGCTGGAAATGAAGGCAATGGTCTGCTGGATGTGATTCGTGTCCGGCTGAATTTCCTCTTGCTTTTTGGTTTGGCAGGAGATCTATGACCGTGTGGATGTGTGCTGATATGTTGATGGTATTATTACATCAATTATTTGGCGAGGGGGAGGTCAAAGCCACACCAGCATCCTGTTTCCACAGAGGCGTGCTTTGTGTCTACCCCCAGGCCTCAATTAAGGCGAACAGGGAGCGCAGATTCAATCACATGCATCACTCCTGTCCAACAGAAACATTCTGTTCCAAATCAGCAGCAAACTCATATCAGAAATCCTGCCCAAAGCTACACCGCCTCATAACAATAGCTTGAGGGAGCATGTGGCCAGACTGTGACCCATGTCATTTATATTACACAGGGCCTGTAGATCTTCATCATGCCTTTGACTGCTCTAAACAGAATTAGTATGCGGATGAACTGCATGTGGTGATAGACCGATAAAAAGAGTGGTTGTTGATGGCATACATACCCTCGGAAAGCGTCCAAGGAGAGCAGACGTGAGGGTTTGGCTTCACCAGTGTTATCTGCAGTCGCACAATCATGTGTACCGTTCTGCAGAAATATAAGAAAGTCGTGAGATTAAATGATTTAAGCACTCAACCCCCACTCCAGAGTGGGTCTTAGAAATCCATCCATCCATTTTCTGTCTCACTTCATCACAGTTAGGGTCATGAGGGGTGCCGATGCCTATCTCCAGCTGTCTATGGGCGAGAGGCGGGGTACACCCTGGACAGGTCGCCAGTCCATCGCAGGGCAGTCTTAGAAATGTTATGCTTTAATGACTGTCGGTAGTTTGGCTGCAAAAACTGCTGCAAGTGGCTGTAGGCTACAGGAAGAGGTCTACAAGACACCATCAGTGACGACATGCATGCATGGAAGGGACACGATCACTTTCCCTTGTAGACCAGTTGTTAAAAATACACAGGCATAAGTGACCTCTCTGAAGCTAAAACGCGAGCTAAACGGCATTATACAGTGGTGAGGACGCTCTATGTGTTCCCTTTTTCTTTTTTCCCCACCCCTGTCCTTAAAAAAGTCTGTGAAAGCCACTGGACACATTTAATAATGCATCAGTATATCAGCGTTCACACTTAGTGCAATTCCAGCGACAAAGTTGCCACAGTTGGGTGCTGTCCCTGTCCTGAAACATCACCAGTATAAAACTCCTCTACTATCTTTCCACAGCATTTTCAAATAGAGAGAGCTTCTATCTGCTGCTTTCTGGTTTCAACACAACGTGGCAGCCCTGGGTTTTACCGAGTCACTGTGCCAGCGAACCTGGATCCAGTAGATCCTCCAGAGATGCTTCCAATTCAGGGAGTCCCTGAGCTAGAGCTTGATAATGCGATGGTTACCTTGTGACCAGCACCTGAAACTATCCCGCTGCAGGGCTTGGTTACCAAGACA